GGGTGTAAAGAAGGTAGAGGTCTAGACAATCCATCCAAATACCTATAGGACTTCTTATGCCTGAAGAAGGAGTTAAATTGATCAGGTCTGCAGAGAATAAGTAATAACCAATGAATTTTGCCTGTGTCTGTAGAACAGAAAATACGTCTCGAATGACTTATTTAGGGGTGTAAAGAAGGTAGGGGTCTAGACAATCCATCTAAATACATCTAGGAATTCTTGTGCCTGAAGAAAGAGTTTAATTTATCAGGTCTGCAGAGAATAAGTAATAACCAATGAATTTTGCCTGTGTCTGAAGAACATAGAATACGCCTCGAATGACTTATTTAGGGGTGTAAAGAAGGTAGGGGTCTAAAGAATCCATCTAAATACCTCTAAGTATTTCCCGTGTCGGAAGAAAGATGTTTGGTATGTAAAATTATTTTTTTTCCAAAGCTATATTATATCTCCCACAAATTGTTGTATACAGAAGTTTATAATCTAACATTGAGTTTTTTTTTATGTCTGTAAACTGCGAAAGAAATTTTGCTGGATCTGAAGGAAACTGAATCCGACATAGACATTTTCTGTGGCATCTTATGAACGTGTTTGATCTTACAAAAAGGCTTTTAAATATCGAAAATTAGTCCATCTTCTCCGATATTTTCCTGGGTATTAACAATGTTTTTGATAGGCCAATGTGCTTTTGTGTTTTGATGATTACAAAGAGGAATTCAACATGTCAAAGAATGTTTGTTGGGCCCGAATGAAAATGGAATCAGTTAATGAGGTCTTATTTAAGCCTAGAGAAGGTATTTATTCAAAAATGAGTTTTGGTTGAGCATTAGAAACTTACAAAACCCCCCAAAAAGAGCGTTTAGCACATGTAAAAGAAGTATGTAATGCAATCGAAATACAATGATCTGTATATGTTAAAATATGGGTTGGAAATTCTATCAATCAATTGACATACTGTTTTAGTACAAAGAGCCTTTGCATTTCTTCGTACATATAATATTTGGTTAAAAGGTGTCATTAGTGTATTTGGTGGGTTTTTTTAAAGGTTTCAATTTAGATTTGCTTCCTGCTTTTTGAATAAATATCTGAGAATACAAGAATATTTTACCGTGTTCAAGTGTGTGTTAATTGTTTGGTCACCTAAATTTATTTTCCCAAAATAACTTAAATTAACAATAAATATGAATTTACAATTTCAGGAGAATTTAAAATATGTTTTGGAAATTGAGATGTCAACTAATCATTTTACTTTACCCAACAAAATAAATAAACATTTAGTAATCACAAAAACATATTAATACAATCCTAGCGTTTGCAGAAATAATGAAATATTCGCGTTGGAATTGAAGAGCTCAACATTTAACCCCAATTCAAAGAGTTATCTATGTTTAAATTGCTTCAGACATCAAGGCGCCACAGACTAATTATAATTTACGCAATCTCTGTAAATTGTTATTATAATGTTACTCGTTGTACCTTATCTCGAATATTTCTATGTTGCTTTGTATCCAAATTAACCCCTCTTAACTATGAGTTATTGAGATTTGAAGCGTTATTTCAAAATTATTGCTGATTTGTCAACCTTTTTCAGTAAACAATCTAGATTTGGTAGATTTATGACAAATAATTTATGGGTGAGTGCAACGAACTTTATCAACTGGTTTTAAGCGATGGATAAAGTTAAGAATTACGATAGAGTTGCTTAGAATCAGGATACATTCTAATTGTGTAATATTTAAAACAGTTAAAAAATTCTTTAACACGAGCCTTTTAACAGCAAGACAATAATTTAAATCCCCAAACATTTTTTAAACACAATTTAAAACAATTTATTTTTTTGTACACAAACTCTTGCAAGTATTTAATACCAAATAAAATCCTTTATTAAGTGAATTCTACGTAATAGTCTTACAAAAACATACACATAGCTTTGCAAGAATTTAATACGAAATAAAATGCTAAACGAACTTAATAGTCTGGCAACAACTAATTTTATGTTCAGTATTTTATTTTAAGAAGTAAAAAATTTATCTTTGAGGGGAGGAGGTCAAATATTCAATATAATTTAATAAGATAAGCATTCGGATTTATATTAAATGCAGTTTTAATACATTGCTGTAAAGTGGAATTTTAATGTAAATAAAGTTGTTTCAAAATGGAACTAAGGAAAATGTGGCATCATACTTATCATAGGATATGCGGAGCCGATATGCCAGCTACAGCTCATTTGTAGGTAAAGTCTTTGGGATTTTATAAAACTGTCAGCAAATACAATTACATGTTTATAAAACTTCTACTTTCCAAACAGCATTGTATTTTCTCAAAACAGCCAAACGTGTGCTCCTAAATAAGCCTCATGAATTTAAATCATGTTACGAATGTTAACATTTGGTGTTAACCAGTATTAATAATGATTTTTTCAATGCAAATCTCATAGGGCTTAGGTATATTTCTATAAAATCAAAAACTCTATTAACTAATTATAAAATTTATCGGCTGCATAATGTATGTTGTCATTTTACATCACCAAATCGCAAAAAAAAATCATTTTCGAAATCGAATGTTCTGTAAAAAATGCGATAGCAAATCGAAACGGAAGATTAATCGAAATTGGAAACCAGAAGGACTGTAGTTGAGGTTTGTATCGATCGTTTTGGCTTTATTGAGGTTCAAATTTGAAATCAGCTGCTGGCAATCTCGTGTCTGAACTACCAGCTTCCCACAGATAAACTGGCAGTAATGACAGACCATGGGCAGATGGCAGACTGGCACGGCTACTGTGGCTGACCCTGATATCACTGTGTAGCTGATATTGTAGCTGATATCGTACTCGGTGTACATGATATCACTGTGTACTCTTGTATAGTTGATATTGCAGCTGATATCTACGTGGTGTACATGATATCACTGTGTAGCTGATATTGTAGCTGATATCGTACTCTGTGTACATTATATCACTGTGTGTACTCTTGTATAGTTGATATTGTAGCTGATATTGTAGCTTATATCGTACATTGTAAGCTTGATACCATTGTAACTGATATCACTGATGTATCTGATATGAAGGGGTATATGGAACGTAAATAAATCACTCGTGCAATGCTCAAATGAAGAACTAAATTACACACAGTTTGTTTTTTAACGTAGAATTTATTACTTACTTGTTAACAATATTGTAAAAAACATTGGAAACAAATCTTACCAAATCAACTAATAAAAAGCTGATTTAAAAGAAACATTACGGTAAACATCAATAATCCAATGTCATTGAAGGATAATTGCCTAGATAAATTAAAGTCATAAAAAATATATTTAGCTTGAATCCATTTATCACTAGTCCGAAACTGTCCAGGAGCCCTTGTAATGAAACCTTTTACAAAAAGCCACTTGGATAGAAAATTCTGACATTTTTGCAAACAATTAAGAAACGTGCAACACAAAAGTGCAGTTGACAGTGTGGTGAAGTAGTGCATTTCTAAATTTGCTGTAGTTTACAGATTGCTATCATATGGTTGTCCGGATTAACTAGAGTACGTATAAATGGGGTCCACGATTGGGGTTTACTGTAGTTATTATCCAAATTATATTTCTAAGAAGCGGTACAATGGAAAATTGTGTACACTCCAAAATAAGATGGTTACATGTCAATACAATGCACAAAACAAGACATGAAATACACAACTTGCTACAAATTTTCCAATGAGAGGCTTACAATCATCCATAGTCAATGGTTCAATGTGCAGCGCCATGAAAATTCCAAGGTTTTTGGGAGTTCAGTTTTATCACATATATTAACATATTGTTTTAACAACCTTTTGAAATTCCAATTCCTATGAACTAGAAGCTTTTCAGATTTTCTATAATATTTAAAATATTCATATTCTGTTAACCGATAATAATCCCTTAGCCAGTGTTCCGTAATCTTATACATGCAACTGCAAATAAATAAAATCTTTCAATTGGCGTCACTACAAAACTTTAGTGAGGAAAAATTACCTTATTATAAAAAAATTTAAATATCGCAGCGCATTGTTCATACACAACAGGGTGGTGCAAATGAAAAAAAATTGTTGATAATTTTTTAGCAGAGTTATTATCACACGGTATACGATATACCATAAACATGCGTAGCTATAGCCTGCCGGTATAATATTAACATTTGTTACTTACCCTTGATTATATCTGACAAAAATAAATACTGACCGTTTGTTTTGTGTATAATGTTAGAGTGTTCTAAGAATGGAAAACATACACTTCAAAATCAACTTCTATTCTGTACAAAAATATAACATTAGTTTCTTTATTAGAATTGAAAACGTAGAGTTAGCAAATTAGGCTGGTGAAATTTTTAGGCTAAAATGTGCAAATATTATCCTAAAAGCCAAAAAAGGCATTTTTCATTCACATTTGAACTACCATATGTTGATAGATAAACAAAAACCTACGTACTGTAAATTGGAAATTCAAAATTAGGACCAAAATGGATGAGTTATAAGTTTACGTTTTCCTATTAGGATATAAACAGATAATTTCTATTCCGAATGCAGTAATACTCCTTAGGGTAAGATTTATGTTAATGATTATGAATTGAGTCATAATTTATTGCTATAAATAATGTTTTTTAACTCGATTTTGTAACCTCCTAAACGGGTGGTTGTTGATTTGGATATTTACATTTTAAATGGATTCAAGGCACAAAATAAAATAAGTTGTTGTTGATTTTCAAGAAAAACTTTAATTCTAAACTATTATGTAGAGAAAATACACCTCATCCTCAAATCATTTAACTATTCTGTAAACTTATTATTTTATATTTTTACTGGTTTCTCCAACAAATTAACTTATTTTATAATTCGGCGTGATGGAAACTGTAGTGTTTTGTTGGTTATGATAAATATAAATTATACCTTACCTGCAGTACGGTACTAATTTTATTTTTTTTGTATTTTGCTAAACAAACACATGCTCTACGAAGTATATAAGGATATTGAGGTATTAGTTACCTGGAGAGCCTGACAATCCTCCGCCAAAGTTCGGAAACACGGGCGACCCTGGGTAGTGGCCGTGGACCCAGCTCTGGGGATGCTGCTGCTGAAGACCCGCGCTGTAGGCAGCCGCTGCCGCCGCCAACGCGCTGAAGGGAGTCGGCCTGACAGGAGCTACCGGCATCATCAACCTGGCGACCTGCGCAGCCTGCTGCTGCTGTAGGAAGGACGAAACAGACGTCGGCGGCGACCTGGGTCCTTCGGTGACCTCCACGTCGACATCGTCCTCCGCCCCGCTGGCGTCGTCGTCCTGGTCGTCATCCTCGACTCCGTCCTCCGACGACGCCAGCACCGGTGTCGGCGACCGTCTAGGCCTAGTGTCGGCCAGGAGCGCCGCGACGCTGAAGCTGATCCTGGGAGATTCTGATTGTCTCGGCGTCGACGTCTTGCTGGGACTCTCTTGCTCCGAGTCCATCTTGCTAGGAAGCGACGGGAGTCGATGCAGGTTGAGAACTGTCATGCTAGTCGGAGCGTCCAGCATGGGGTTTCACACTTTATTGTTCATCTGACCACTGTGTGAACACAAAACTAACAGATGGGGTACAAAGTCAGCAAATACACCGGTATCCAACCATCACAAAAAAGATGTAAATATTTATCACTTTTGAATCACTGTATCATCTTCGAATTGCTCAAAAGTTACTCAGTTCGAGGAAGCACTGCTCAACTACACAACACTGCGCGGCCCGGCTCGGTTGCTACGACGACCTGTGAACGACTGAAGACTACCGCTAGCGCCGAACGTCCACCGGGGGGAGATGACTCCGCCCACCGCGATCAATAGGCGGGCCGCCGCGAGAAAGAGGCGGGGCTTCGTAAATAATTCACCCCCTCCACATCACTTATTCGCGCTCTTTCTCCGGCAATATTGTCGAGTGCATGAAATTATGTCCGTTCGATCGCGACGTTTTTGATACCGTCTTCGACGCAATCGCGGCTCAGGAAAGTAGCGCCGTGGACGATGGCGGTGACAATTATCGAGCCAATTACGGTACAATGAGCTCCCTCCCGGATTACTTTTCTCCCTCACGATTTGAGTTTATCGTCTGCGGTATTGACATCTTTGTTAGTGGCAGACCTGGTGTTCCTTCTTTGTTCGCGTCCACTTCATTTGTCTGATTGATTTATCCGCACATGCTCAGGTAATGGCGTGGGTTCCATTCTAATTGAACATTGTTGGTACCACTGTCCGCTTGGCACCGATTTGACCGTACCATCTGTTTGGTGCAATCGTCTTAAAATTGAACAAGCTTCAACATCATTACCATTACCGTGTCCGTGATCATTGTGTTCGCAGGTGTTTAGAAAGGATGTTTAAAGTACAGTATGAGTTTCTTGTCGTATAAATGTTTTTGCCCGTAACATACGGGCATTAATGTGTCCATCCGTCTTAAGGGAGGGGACCTATGAAGGGGTTTTCCACCCCTTTGCTGCTATTATAAGAAAATAGGAAAATACAAACTAATCTGAATGTTGGAAAACGTCTTAAAACAAGCGGAGAAATGAAGAATACTGTATTGTATTGAACAATTGAATGTTAATAAAACTAATAAGCAGATACAAAAAAAAAAAAAAAACATGTGTGGTTTTATTCACGAATCATTAAATACTAACCACTATACAATTCATGGGGTTTGTTTCCCCATACTTCACAAATCAAAGAATATTGGTAAATATTCAGTGACGTAAATATAATTACTTGGTACGTACCTTAAAGTTCATTTCGTCCAATCCCTAATTCTAGTATTGGCCATATAAACTATTCTGAGATCTTTTAGTTTACAACTTGTTGTGTTAACCAACTTGTTCTTTCTAACTTTCGTCTATCTTGATCTAAAATTCCGAATGATTTGTTTTGAGAACCATTTTAGAACGATTACCATTTAAATTCGTCAAGGTTTTAAATTAGCGTCTTAATTTAAAGAACTACACGTATTTTTCCAGCAAAACCTTGCAACTGCTCGATTAGAGATGTTAATTGTGTGCATAGAATAGCAAAAAGGCTCTGTTTTTAAGTAAATAAAATTAAACATTCAAAGACTTGTTAATTCTAAGCCAAACGTCTCAATCTTGGCTGTCAATTAAGTCAACGTCAAAATCAGATACAAAATATTGTATTCGTCACGTCAAATAGCCACGCCACATCACACAATACACTTACACTTACGATAAAATAATGTATTTGTTTTTCGTCATTATGTAGCAGCAATAGCTGTTTTTAATAGATAAAGAGCCTAATTCTTTATACCTCAAGGAAAATATTCGGGTGGAATAAAGAGTGGGTCTAACATCTGTAATTTCTTTCTATAAGTGATTTCAACAAATAAAAATAGTTGCCATTCAAAATAATAATTTAAACCGTCATTTGAACTTCATCACTAATTACGAGGGAGTTATTACATATTTTACCACAATGCATATAAATTTATAGTATCTTAGTTAATTAACTACTTTATGTCTTATTTATTTTTTATCCAGTAATATTGTCAAACGGGTCTTGCCGAAATAAATAAATAAAACATTTTATCTTTTTAAATTTTATAAAAACTGCTAAACGTACGTATATAAATTAAACTTATAAACTTTATAAATTGTATGCCATTTTAATTAAGTACATACAACAGACAATGTAAACCAATTTAAATTTGAAAATTATGAATAATGAACAAATATAAAAGTTTCTAATTTCATGGTCGGTTACAAATGCACTGTTGCTAACAAGGACAATTAAATGCATTATTTTTCATGGATGACATATCATACTAAAATTCACAATAGGTCTGATATCAATTAATCAATTTGAATAGACATTTGTTATGGTGCAATTATTTTTATATGGTAACTAATTGAAAGTCTGGTTGTAAATGTTATATAGATTAGTTTTATTGCAGATTGTTTTACTCTTCTACTTAACACGCAATAAGTTTAATAAATATCTTTAGGTCCACGCAATATTTCCGTAATTATTTTTATTCTTTGTTTATTTACAACAAGCAATAAATAAAGATAATTCAACTAAGACATAATGAATTCCAAAATCTAATAAGTAATAAAATAGAGTTACCTACATAAATATAAAAAGTTCGTAGGTAGTTGGTTACTATTTAATTCAATTACTTATATTGAATTTGTTGAAATCAAATTCAAAATGTTTGATTAGGCCCTACCTTAAATTAAAATGGCGTTTATTAGCCAGTAAAACAAATAAAGTCATAATTGGAGTAGTTGATTTTGTTCAATTGAAATATATAGTTTTCCCAAAATCCAATAAAGTTAAAATCCATTAAAGTGTATAAGTATTGATTAATCTTAAATATGGTGTCGAGTCTTTATATTTTATCTAAATAAAAATCTGGAAGCACAATCTTTCACCCGCAATAGGTTGGAAAGGATGCAGTTTAAAAATGAGAGTAAAGAAAGGGGAAGAGACAAAATTTTGAGTTCTTGGTAGCTTTAGTTTGACGCAATATATAGCTGGGTTGGTTGATTGGTTTTTGAAATTGCAATTATGCTTTGTAGTCAATTTGGTTAATCTGAAGCTCGATTTAATGCCTATTCCTAGAGTATGCATCAACCTTAAGTACCTAAGTACAAACATTAGTTTACTTTACAAATATGTAATTGGTAAAACTAATAATTTAATTTACCTATTTCGCCTGAAGGTCTTGTAGTTGAACTTATCGTACTCTATGCGCATTTCGCCGCTGAGAAGAATGAAGAACTCCATGAAGATGCCGCACTGAGCGGCTAAATGCGCATAGAGTACCTTAATCTACTCAGAAGGTCTTGACCTTCGGGCGAAATAGGTAAATTAAATTAAGGTGTCGCTGGGTACAAACAACATTGGTAAAACTAGTTTTAAAAATGTTAAACGATCAATAAACTTAAACAAATCTAACACTTGTGAACTTTATCAAGTTATCGTCAGTTTATACATAAGGATAAAAATTTATAACGATGTTTAATCTACGAATCAGCAATTTCATTCACGCTGGAAAAATCTTCCCCCATCAGGGCTGCTGTACTATAAAAAAGGGGAGGGTGTATTAAATCCGTTCCCGTTAACCAAACGAATCATTAATTTACTCACGGGCCAGCGAGAATGTCTTGAATCGAGTAAAAAGCCAACACGTTTATAAGGGCGTCCCCCAATGATTAACAGGGCAATTTATCTGATGGTGACATAATAGATGCAGCGTTTAGTGGGGAGGAAACTAGGGGGGGGTGGCAGATGTACGTCCCCACTCAAACTGAGCAAACAATATTGAATAAGTTGAAACATCAATATAATGAGATCCAAAGTGTAAAGCACTCAAAACGTATGTAGGGTGTTTGTAAAGCTGTTTGTTTTGTGTCATAAATACTTTGCAATGCTGTGTCAGACTTTGCCAATAGCGTGCTTTGCCTTACTCATGATGTTTCATTCTTTGCTGCTCTTTACCATACTACTTCTTTTTTGTGACACTTTGACGTGCTTTTCCCGTCAAAGTGTCATCATTCCCTGTCGCGTCAAATGACGACATTTTCCATATTGTGCTATGCTTTGCAATGCTGCACTCTTTGTATCACATACTGACTTCTCTGTACACTGATTTTTATGAAAATAAAGCCACGTGTTTGTAAAATCCTCCCTTTATGTGAAAACATTGCAGAACAACTAATCATTTAAGATGTTAAACCATGTATAATTTTGATAAAAATAACAATAATTTCAATCCAAACTTAATGCAACAACAAAATTTGAGCCCAGTTTATGAAAAATAAGTAAATTTATAACTAAAACCATTGGCTAAACAATTCAAAACTATTGTTTCCATAAAAGACAAATTTATTTAAATTTAAATAAAACATGTGATTGTATTCATTGTATTTATTTACGTATATTATATCCCATATTAATATTACGTCAGTGTACCTTAGTGTTAAAATGTAAATTAGTCAGTAAAAAATAGTTTAAAAGTATCTCTAAGGTTTTTAATTTCCATAAATATTACTTCAATCTAATATCATGCCGAAAATCTAAGCCTTTTCAAAGAAAATATTCGACCACACATTGCAAACGACAGAATAAGTTTTCATAGATCTGTTTGGAACTTTTCATAAATTTAAGCACTTCCTGGAAAAAGTGTAGGCATATTTTATTTGTATAGACAAAATCAACAGCTGACTTCAAAACAGATGACACGAATCAGCTGATCCAATGATGTAATTCCTGAGTAATTTACGTGTGCCGCAGAGATATTGTCACCGTATCTCAGGGGGAAATAAAACCTCTTGTAGTATTTTGTGGCCCAGGGCAGCCCAGGGGGGGGAGGGGGTGGTGATAGCCAATGTTTATGACTCCATAAGTCTCTGATAAGCTGACCTGGCCGTTCCCGCCGTTTTACTTCATTAGATATGAATTAATCTGTCCGCCGACCGCCCGATTGTTACCACCCTTTAAATAAAGCGGTGAAAATGGCGGGAATGTTTTAGCGGGTAGAATGGAGCTTTTGATGGAACGTCAATGTTATCTATAAAAAATAAATTTTGTTCATCATATCCTACCCTTATGGTGATGAAATGTTGCCCTTATATTAGGGCATAATATCCAGTCAGGTATATTTTTTTAAATTTTTAACACATTTTAGGTAGGTATAACAAATTTAGATTCTATAAAAATGTTATTAGTATGAGAAAAGATGAGTAAGATAGTTTACAGATTTTTTATGACATTTTTTGGCACATATAAATTTTTCATTAGTTTCTGTGTTATTCTTCAATAAAATAAAAATTGCAACAGTAGTAATAAACAGACCAATTTCTTGCAATATGTATAAACCAACTATCAACTTTGTGTAGTATAATGTATAAATCTATTGTTTGTGACATTATTTTGTTTTAATTTGCCTTCAACAATAATGTAACGAAAAAATTGCTTTTACGGC